TTTTTTTTCTTATTTGGATTATTTCCGAACTTTCAAAGCTATTATCATTCTGTTCAATTTACAAATTGCACATTCCTACATCCATATAATACATATGCATCTGTGCTCGTATGCCATAGTAGCGTAAGTCAGGAGGCTGGGTTATTCTTTATTCTGTTGGCTTTATTCTGTAAACCACAAGTAATTTATGGGACTTAAAAATAATATTGACTTGCTAGCATCGGAACTAATTCTTTCGCGTTTACTTTCCAAGAGTTCTTCAATTAGAAATCGTACGCTACTAATGGTACATTAGACTAAAGCCAGCCTCCCAACTTAAACTACTATGCCATATGACCACAATATGTACATATATGCATGCAGTCATTCGTTTTTTCTATTAAAACAATTTTAAATGTTCAATCACTTGTGACATTTGCACATAATCTTATAGTAATAGTTTGCATTATTACTTATGGCCAAGCAAAATTTGACAGCTTAAATCGTGGTTGTAATTGATACCACAAACCACTTTCATATGTAATGTTTTATTGTATACAAGTGCAACGTTCACGAAGGGTACCAGTTTATTCACATAGGCGTTTTACGAAAGACTAAAGAAGCGAACCTACACAACTATTAATACTGATTAGCAAAGAGTCAGAAAAAGAGCTATGATAAATTTCTTGGTAGACGGAGTGAATATAAATCTTTGTTTGGGTATAAAATACTTACTGTGACCTCTATATTACTACTCTCAGTGCTAAAGGGTTAAACCCAATAAATATTTGTAAGCATTGGCGCACCCAAAAAAAAAATTACGCAAATATACACATAAATTAATAAATATGTATTGCCTTGAAAGACGAAAAGTTTGAATATTTTATATAAAAACTATAAAAGAATCACCAGCAATTCTATATCAGGCATTTCAATACAAAATACAGAATTTTCTTTATAAAAACCTATAAAAATATTTTCGAATCGAATCTCAAAACATGCCTGATAATTCGGTATTTGTCTTTATGAAATTATATGAAGGCTTTTTATTTTATGTTTGTAGGCTAGTCTGATCTTTTCAGTTCTGGTGCGAATAAAACTACTTTATTCCACTTTTCACTCGACGTTTCGCTAAAACTTTTTTAGCATCCTCAGGGGTAGTGTTTATTTTATCTGTTACAACAAATATACAAAAATACAAAAAAACACACACATTAAGTATTAACCGAAAAAACAAAAATGTATACATATATAACAACAAATTGAATTTAATGACAAACCAACTTACATTGTTTAGATATTCAAACATATATATGTATATGTATAAATACTTAATCACTAAAAAAGAAAATATATCCATACCACTTGATGTGGTAGTTTTGTCAGTACTGAAAATTTCATTTTTGTAAACAAGTTATGTATGCGGCCGCAATGTTGTCTGTATCTTCCTTCTTATTAATTGTCATTTCTCGTTTTTGCGTAATTCTAAGGTTCTCTATCGTGTATTGTGTATCGAATCTGTTTTCTTCTTTCTTTGTCAATAATATTTGTATTCGCGAAATCAGCTGTGTGTCCACTTGTTAAAATGTGCTGTGATAATGCTGTACTGCTTTTCCGTTTCCTAGTGATGTGCTGAGTCAATACTTTAAAGTATTGGTCGATATTCGGTACCGATTTAAAAAGTATCCAATACTCTCGATACTCGGTACCGAAACATTTAGGTTTCGAATAAAAGCGCACATAGGCCAAAAATATGGAAAAAACGGTCCAGGGGAGACTCGCCTATAAAAACCCGAATGTAGGAGCCAATAGAGCTTTTAATACGGATTCAAATGAAAGATGTATATATGTCGGTTCGAGGCCATAATGCAGAGAAACTCTTACTTGTTTGAAACATTTTTGTTCCAGCTGAATCGGACGATATCATTTTTGTAGGCCTGGGGGCAGATTCTGTAACCTGTTAGCGACAATTTTCGAATCGGCATCGGTTTTGTTGACGTATGATATGAAATATTTTTACGTCAACAAGTGCGATATCGATCCGAAACTTGTCGCTAACTGGTTACAGAATCTCACCCCTGAAAGGCTTCTTCATCCGTAAAAGCATTTTTCTTGAACCTTAGATCAACTAAGATTAAAACTGATAAAATAATATTTCTCTGTTGCGATAAGTTCAAGAGTTTTAGCCGATATCATATAAATTAGTAATTAAAGTTTTTTCTAAACTTGAAATGCATATAATGGCGAAGGTTTAAAGTAAAGAATCGGTATCGGGTACCGAAAAGGCAGTATTGGGTACCGAAATCTTTTTTAAGTATTGGGTACCGAGTATTGGGTACCAAAAATTCAGCACATCACTACCGTTTCCTTATGTCCGCTTCATGTTCGCCTAATCGAACACCTAAAGGCCGCTTCGTTGTCCCAATGTACACCTTTCCACATGTTTATGTTTCCTTCCCTTTGCATTTAATTTCGGAGACTACGTTGTTTTGTTGGTGGACCTCCACTGGACATTTTGTTTTTGTATATATTCTCGAAAGTGTGCAATTAGATTTGTATGCAAGTGCTGTGTTTTGTGTTTTTGTTATGTTATGATCAAAATTATCGGTAAGATTGGGAATGTATGTAACACTGAAGAATTTCTTTGCGCTTTTTGTTGTTTCTGAGTCCGATTGTGTGTT